TCTCCTCTCCTTCTCCTTCTCCTTCTCCTTCTCCTTCTCCTTCTCCTTCTCCTTCTCCTTCTCCTTCTCCTTCTCCTTCTCCTTCTCCTTCTCCTTCTCCTTCTCCTTCTCCTTCTCCTTCTCCTTCTCCTTCTCCTTCTCCTTCTCCTTCTCCTTCTCCTTCTCCTTCTCCTTCTCCTTCTCCTTCATAAACATTTTCTTTCTGAATTATCCACAGTTTTAACATGATTTTCTCTTAGCAAGCAGCGCGACTCCCCAGAGCAGTTCTGGATCCCCAGTGTGACTACACAACATTCCCACCGCGAGGACATGAAAGAATCGGGAGTGACAAACAATGCTCTAATACAGGAGAAGATAACGTGGCCCGAAGAATCGGGCCTGGAAAATCTAGGTGCAGCTTCATTGAGCTGGCAAGGGGTTTTGCAAAGCAACTACCCGTAAGGCTCAAAAATTAAAGGTGACAAAGTACCAAGTAATCAATCTGAGGAGAAGATGGGAAAAATGGAAGGAAGAAGAAACAGAAGAGAGCAAAAACAGTGAGAGGACAAATGGGAACTTGAAATGCAAAGGAGAAAAGGAGAAAATTAAAAGACATACCCCCCAAAAGAATATTTTAGACAAGTCTAGAATAATGAATTGGGGTATATTAGAAAAAGTGCAAAAAATGCTTGAGATATGATAAAGAAACCCAAACTATGAAAATACACCAGAGAAAAGAGATAAGAAACCTCATTTTGGGTTAATTGTGCTCCCCTTTAAATGACACATTTCTATGCTGCGAGGGCCCCCATAATTAGATTATCGTTTGCAGCAGGTTGTTCCTCAGCTGCTTCCTATTTCGTCTGTGTGCGACGGAGCCGCCGCAGCCCGAGCTCGCGCGGAGCCGCCGCGCTCCTATCGGAGCAGAAAGACTCGATCACTCGAATGCATTTGGAACAAACATTCCCATTACGGCACCGCTTTTCCTAACGGCCGGCTGCAATAGAGCTGTGATTGCGCAGCGCCGAGGCTGCCGCTCCACGAGCTCAAGCCAATAACAACATATTGACTGCCATGTGGTTGGGGTTTTCTGACCTTGAGGAGGCCTCCAGCACTGCCGTAGTCACCACGGCGAATTCCGCGCGCGGGGCAATGCCAGAAACACCCACCCCGGGCCTGGGTAGGCACAGCCCGAGCAGGAACGCACACTAATAAAGTGCCACCCGTTACACAGGCCGCTGATAACTTGCTGCCCTTGTAGACGGGGAAATTACTTTTTTTTTTGGAAAATAATGCTTAAAATAATCCCAGAAGCAAGCAAACAATTTGATCTACCTAAATAATCGCAGCCCTGCACCAAGAGAGCCCTTCAGACATGCTGCGTGCGGATACTGTTCAGGAGAGAAGCATCTCACTATCGTGTGTTCCACGCAGCGGGTTTGCTGCATTTCTCATGCTATGGCACAAGATGCTAAAACCCGCTTTTAGCCTCCTTTTAAATGTTCTTTATTTCCCCTCGCTCCAGGCTTTCAGACAGTGTGAAACCGGCATTTATTTTATCCCTTTCTTGGTTTTCAGTGCTTTTTTTTTAACTATTCCACAATTAGAGCACAGCGCTGGTAGAGAGCATCGCCGCTGAACTTCCTCGTCAGGGAGAGCCGGAACCAAAAAGCGCGGCTGGTTCTTTAAAAGTTTATCCCTATGGCACCATCATGTAAGCATACATATGGGACAGTAAAAATGGAAGACGACACATTAAATGACATTATTATAAAATGCAATACTCTTGGAATGATCCCTTATTAAATTAGGCTCTATGATCTGAGATGAATTTCCCCGATCCCTAATCCATCACCGGAGAAATATTAAAAGATAGGTCTCAACTGGTATTAGAATCGCACTCAGTCTCTACTTTCATTATTTTGAATTAGGGTGCTACTGGGGGGAAGCCTCTTAATGAGAATTAGAGTGATTCACTGGCCTCCTTTTGGGTTTTGACAAGTAAAATATTAACTCTTCAGTCACAGCTGTCGGAATTAAAATACTTGGCAGCCACAGATGCACAAATTAAATTGGCCTTTATGTTTCCATATTGCTGACCTCCTTAGAGGCACAAACATCGAGCCCAACAATAACAGAAAACCCACAGTATGTCATTTCTTGGAAGAAAACGTATTTATTGAAGTTTTTATATTTGTCTCAGTTTTAAGCACATAATTGAACAAATGCGGGGCGTTTGTTACAAAAGGCTTTTATTTTAATTTCGCGTTCTGTAAAACTTCAGCTGCAAATCAGTCGCTCCGAGCCATTAATCAGGCAATAAAATAATAAATGAAGTTATTTCAGGGATTTCTTAACTGTTTAAAGCAGCGTAAATCAGATTTACATGCAGCGCATCAGTGAAAACATCTTAATGGCTTTGACTGGCACTTTTTTAGCACCATTTCTCTAAAAAAGCTATGGGTCTTCTTTCATAAAAATCACAGATGAGAATGTGCAATTATGGCAGAAGCGCAAAACTTTTTAGTGCTGCGTCCCCGCCTGAGAAGAGTGAAACCAAATGGAGTTCAAGCGTTGAGAGAAAGGCCGTTCTTGGCTGTTTTTCTCCGCTTCTTTTTTTTTTTTAATTTAATGGCAGCACCACTGCAATTAGCCTCAACTAAGAGCATCTCCGTTAAGTGCACAGCAATAGTGCTAATCGTGGAGGCGGGCGCAGGCCTCATTCGCTGCATTCATAGTTTCTTGCAAGAAATTTTACTCCCTTGCTTGGCCTTCGACGTGGCCACAACGTTGGTGTTTTAGAGCATATTGGGCTTCACACATGGCCGTAGGGCTCCTGATCCAATTTCTCTTTTCCGTTCCTATCTGCTGCTCCCCCTCTCTGCTTGCGACCCAAGTTGCAACAAATTTAGCCAAAAACCGCCTTGATAGAGCCTTGGGTTTTGCAAAACTGGGGACACGAACATCCCTATGACTGAGGGAAGAGGCCCGGGAAGCCCTTTTGGCAGTTCTCCCCCATGGATGCTGTGACCTGCCGGCCTTTCCTGGCTTCCTTCACACAGTTTCCATCCCAGCAGAGCCACCCGCCCGGGGCACAGGAGACCAGGGCTTGCCCGGAGCCTCCCGCGGGCGCTGCCGGGAATTAGTCCTGTGCACAACTACTTAGCGCACCTCTTTTTTCCCTGGAATTAAATGTGTGTGGCAAGAC